AATACAATATACTTGTATTTCAATCTCATCCAAAATCACCCTCAGGAATGAATTGCTAAGACAAAGATTAATGTAAAAGATTTTATATATATATATATATATATATATATATATATATATATATATATATATCCCTGACTTGACGATCCTTTTCACAGAGGGAAACTGAAATTGCAGAGGTATTATTTTTTTTTTAGCTATTTCATAATTTATTTAAATTTTTATTCTTTTTTACTGTATATTTCGAGTTACTATTAATACATTCACGTACACACACACACACACACTCTCTCTCTCTCTCACACACACACACACACACACATATATATTATACATATGGGTTAAGTAGCTGGGTAGACTGGGCTTTCTATCCTTAGAGGCAGCCAATTAAGTCTGAATTTAAAAAGTTACAGAAACAACTGGAAACTACTCTACTGTCTTTCATTGTGATTCAAAGATAATAAAGTAAAAAAAATCTGTCGGTGCCATGACAGCCCATATCCTGAAAAGATATGAAATTTAAAAAAAAAAAAAAAAAAGAAATTTTGTAGTAAAGCGTAGGATCTTAATTATTTTATTTTCTAATTCTTGCCTCGGCCACTGGAGCCTAACACGCCAGTCGCAATGATAAATTTTGAAATTTTGAGGTCGTTCATTACAATTATCAAGCGACGAATCTTTTTCGTTTTTGCTGTTACAATGTTTCAGTCGATCCATTCTTCTATATTTCTCTTATGGAACGTGATCTCTTTTTTTATCGGGTAGTTTAAAAGTAGAGAAATGGTTTAGATTGTGGAATTGGAGAGCCGAGTTCGAATTCCAGTCGAATCCATTACATTCACTTACGTGCTAATACCCCTGGGAAAGGTGTGAATCCTCTTCTTCTCCCTCCAGCTATTGGTAAATAACAGACTGGGTTCTATAGCCTTGGATGGCAACTGATCTAGGAGAAGGACAACTCTGAATTCAAAGCCGGAGTGGACGGCACTTTGTGCTACCTTCCGGCAACTCCTGCAGCCGCGCTGGTACCAAACTGTATTGGTTTATCCTCTCTTTTGGACCCTGCTAGCAAGGCCAAGATGGGGAACTAGACGTCTGGGCAGCCCTAGTTCTGTATATATATCCCTCCCAGGCTCGTAGCGCACGCTCGAGACGGACGGATGCCGACGACGACGAGTGTAAAAATACAGAACAGAAGAAATCGGTAGAAAATATACTAATGAAACCCATTCATTATGCCAATCCTCCTAGCAGCACGTGTGACGCAATTGTATAGCGTTTACCTTGGGTTGGACTCCCTTTTTATCTGTCAACCTGGATTGGTCTTCCTTTTGTTGCTAAGAAAAGAAAGACGGGCACAAATAGAATTAGTCGATAGAAAAAGACATCGACAAAAAGACAATGTCAAGGTGTGTATTGTTATAATCCAATTTGACACACAAAAATTTTAATCCCTAAAGAGGATTGATGTTATCGCTACATGCCAGACTGGAAGAGACTGGATGTCACTTTTTCTTGAACTTTTTTTGTTTTTTTTCATGAAAGACAACTTGATATGTGTACAGACCTGCGCGTTCAAGAAGGCCAGTGGTGTGTGTGTGTGTGTGTGTGTGTGCGTGTGTGTGTGTGTGTGTGTGTGCCAGTACATTTGTGGTCAGGAAAGCTAGCGCGCATGCCCGTGCACGCGTGTGGGGATCAAGAATGTGCTTGTGTATGTATGTATGTGTGTTTGGGGAACTGTGTGTTCGGGAAGTGCAGGGCGCGGAGGTTCGTGTGTGAGGGCGTACGTTGATGGGCTATCAGCTTGCGTGGTGAGCATTGTGAATTTGAAGCTACCCCCCCCAATCAAAGTGTCAATCGTTATCGGCGGATAAAATACTAATCTGCCTAATCCAGATACATCGAAGTTCATTAATCGAACTTTAATTCTCTGCACGTACGAACGCATGCGTTGGCGATCATGGTACTCCACAGCATCCTGTCTTTTGTTGATAACGGTAATACTTGTTTCTTTATGACCCCTCTTTCTCTTTATGCTATTAGTTCCTAGATCCATTTACTCAAAATTATCAAGTATATTACTAACTATTTTTCCCCTTTGAAATGCCCTGGGAGTGTTAAATTCTCCAAACCTTCTTTCTTCATTATGCATCACCCTATTTCAGCTGTATGTTTATTTTTATTATCTGTAGTTTTCCTTTAGTTCCTATACTTCTTAAAACTATGTATTCCAATAAAATTTACTGGCCCTGTGCCGCGCCAGGAAATTTTTCTCGCCGGAGTCAATCCTTCAAATCTACAAATCAACCATTCGCCCTTGCATGGAGTATTGTTGCCATATATGATCTGGAGCCCCTTATGTTTGTCTCAAGGTTCTTGATAAAATCCATAGACGGATATGCAATGTAATTGGCCTTGTTCTGGCATCTCGTCTGCAGTCGCTCTCTCACAGACGTGCCGTCGCCTCTCTCTGTCTTTTTTTACAAAAACTATCATGATA